CTCTTATTATCTTCCAACAGAAAATCCCAGCAAAATGTTTTATTCGTCAGAACAGTCAAAGGCTCTTAAACATCACGTGTCTCATCGACTGTATCAAGTACCCAATCAATATCATTGTATGACATACTGTAATCTTGGTATCGGCTGTGTATCTTTCAACTACAATCAAGCACTAATGACATGTGAGCTGAACAATGCAACAGGGGATATGTTTGCTCATCAATTGGCATTTAAAAAACATTATCGACATTACGTATTGCTAACGTGAGATGAGTAGGTCTCAAGGAAAATAGCAAGAAAATGTTAATGATAATGCATGATCATTAGTTAAATTTCTTTGTGTTTTTCTTATGACAAGGTTTTTCTTGAAATTGATTCATTCGAGAAATTTGGCCCCTTGCCCCTAGTCGTTTTGTTTGGTATCTGCCAATTGTTTCATGCAATTCAAAACGCTCTTTTATGAAGAAACTTTTAATAATAAAAATCCAATAAATGGTTGCTAATGATTTTCATAGGCCTATTGCGAATGTGATAGAAAATAATTGTATCGAAAGAAATGAGTATTGGATCATATAATCCCTTGATCACTTGCTGTGGCATTCGATTCCTACTCAGGAACCAATGCAATGCCAGTTGCCAGCTTTCTCCACTGGAAAAAATCGCGCGCTTTAAAGATTGTAAATTTGATGAAAATATGATGTGTCCAAACTTCTGCAAATTTGATGTAAATGATTTCCATTAAATTTACAGAATTTTGGACACTTACATCATATTTACATCAAATTTACAACCTTTAAAGCGGGCGATTTTTTTTCCAGTGAGCTCTCGAAATGGATCGCTCTCTCAAGAAACATGCATGGATCTTTTTCAACATTCATATATAATAGTGAGGGAATTTGATAGGAATCAAATCAAAAACTGAGGAGGACTAGGTTTCCCTATTCAAAACAGCAAGATCGTGAAATTCCATACCCTATATTTTCATCAAGACAAACTTGCGGACCATAGCCAACACTCCCGGGTGGGATAAATATTGAGACCCTGTATAAGACATAAAGTACGTTCACCCCTATTCAAGACAACACTGAAGGCAACTTGTATACCCTATGCAAGAGGCGAAAGGCAAAAAACAACCATTCCCACCCCGACCCCCTTTAAAAAGAGTAATCTTAATCTTCTGTCACTAGCTACTCGCAACCTCTCGGCACGAAGTCTAGTGTTAGATCGAGCACGTTGAATGGAGACCGTTAACAAATCAAAAAATTCGACTTAATCTATCACCCAATCAAGAATAAGCTAAGCTCAGATCGACAAAGGATAAAATAATTGACAAAAAATTTTAAGAAGGAATCTGTGATAGTTGCAAAATATTAATCTCCACAAAATTTAATTGATCTGCTCAAACTTTAGTTAGTAAACACCTAGGCGTTAGTTTCAGTATCAATATTCTACGGAATTTACACGAATACTTTGCAATTTTAGAGAGCAAAACAATATTAGATCAGCCGTAGTGGGCGACCTCAACTTGCAAACGGAATACGCTAAAGCTAAATGATTAACCCAATAGTCTAGTGTTTGGTTTGAAACTGTGCTAAGATTTTAGAAACAAAATAAAAAATAAATAATAGAAATAAAAATAACAAGAATTACAAGAATTTCCTTATCGGTCCTTAATACTACAGATATGTCGCACGAAATCTATCGWCAGTGTATTACAAATTCAACGACATCGAGTGTCCAAAAAGTTAACTTGACAAAAATTAAAATTTAATCTAAATTTAATTTAAATTAAAATTTACTTAAAAATTGTTTTATTTTATTTATTTTTTCCATTGTAATCAGTACGTGGTTGCCTTTGAAGCTAGTATTTTGCGATCATTTAAGATTTAGCATCTCAGACCTATTGTTCAGTTTAATAACTTTTGTCATGTTTGTTTTCAAAAAAAGACGATAAAATATTTTTTTTGTTCTCGCTGTATAGCTATAGGAGCAAAGGGGGCGGACTTAGCCTATCCCTTCTTTTTATATAACTGTAAGAGATACCTGAGCTTGACTCGTGGCRAGCAGTCAAACGAGATTACTTGCCCACAGTTATTAAACAATCTAGTCGTGGCATAATTTTGGTTTTACGTAATGATTTGCAAATGGGCAAAGGATGACATGCAGAGCTAGCTTATATTGCTTTTAACATKGGCATTGTCAGCGGACAGGACATCATACACGCGGCTACCACCCCATGACGAGTTAATTGCCACAAACCGGAGAATTGATTTGTCTCATAGAGAGAGATAAGTAGCACAAAATAAYCACAGACAAAATGTTGAGAATCCCAACTCTCTCAAAAAGAAAAGCATCAATCTCGTACCCAGAGCCCGCACTATTGCCATCCAACGGAAGTCAAAGCGTTYAGACTCTGGAGGAGTCCATTTTTTTTCGATTCGTGATTGGTTGAAAATGACGCGAGCGCGCATTGTTTTCAAGTCGGTTTTTCAAGTCGCCAGCGCGCCCTCGCCTCATTAGTCAAGAAAATCATCCTTTTTTCGCATAACCACACATTTTTTTACATATTTTTGTTTTTAAAAAGGTGTAAATATCGTTTCTGAACTAAGTTGTTTGCTAAACCTTCTTCATTTTTGTAATTTTAATGCTCTAAATGCAGAAAACAAATTTGACCTCATTTGCATAATTTGCGACGGAAAAGCGTCAAAAATCCAGTCGATTCCTCCAGAGTCTCATTGCCATCCGCTGGATGGCAAAAGCGTGGGTTCTGTGTACGAGATTGGAAAAGCATCAGTCAATCATTGCCAGAGGCAAAATCTTGCACAAGTTAATTTTTATGCTGCCCTAATTAGTGCCAAACTACAGAAGGAGTGAGAATGACGCTAATCATTAGAGGCAAGTTGCCATAGTTCTCAACAAGATGTCGAGATGAAGATTATCAAATATGCCCAAAAATACGTTTTGCAGAGTCTCTGTTTGTCTTTGAATGGAATCTTAAATAACTATAGATTCAAATGATGGCTGAAAATTGCTTCAATCTATGTATATTGTGTATGTATAGAAAATTACTGGTACTATTTTTGGTACTGTCATTAATAGCGGAGCTCCCGCGCTCGGCCCGCGCGAGCGGAGCACCATAACTAAGGAAAAATGGTAAACCCATGYYGTTGAGTTTTGATCAACCGASACAGGAAGCCCAGTTGTCCTTCCGTACGTCCGTCCGTCCGTCCGTCCGTCCGTGTACATCGCGATTCTGATTGGCTACTTTTGAGAAGGCGGGAAAAGGAAGCGCGCTCGCGTCAATTTTTGAAAACAACTTTTTCACCACAACGACGACACAACGACTCCATTTTTGTCCTTTGAAATACTTTACTTCTGCACCAAATGTCGGAAAATCAACGGATAAATAACGGAAAGCGATCTTTATCTGAAGAACAACAGACAAGAAGAAGAGAAAGAGAGCGTCGAAGAAGTCTAAGTGAAGAACAACGCAGGCTTGAAAGGGAGAGAAAACGTGATAGACGAAACAATTTAAGTTAATAAAGACTCAAGCAAATCGAGAAACGAAGTGAACGCCAAATACAACGATTATTGAGGGAGAATTTCTCATAGGAGAATATCTGACATATTCTCCGACGATACCGTGGCGTTATTAAACAAATGGCGGTATGTTAGATTATACGTGCAAGCGGTTTTTGGTGCTCAATTATATCAATTCTTCTACTTCAAGAACCTTGGGCAGTTTTAGTCTGGTTTAAATTTGCTTTTGAATTTGAAAATCTTTACCTGATACACTTCAAAACTTCTCAGTTAAATGAGCTTGTTGACAATGAAAATATGTGTGAATTGTGTGTACATTCTATCCACAATAATAATCTTATTTGACATAAAACTACTCGGATGTTTTAATAAGTATAAAACTATGCATTTTGAAAAGAGAGCCTTGATATTATTTGAATGTTCAGATTTTTAATCTTTATTCTTCAATAAACTCTTTAATACAAACTGTCAACAAATACAGAGAGCAAAGATAAGCAAAGAATTTGAGAAGTTGAAAAATGGATAATCATTATGAACATTAAGCTTATGATTCCTTTAATTGTTTACAAAACTGCCAAAATGTATTATCATTTATGATCACTGTATGTCAAAAATGTATTGAGGTAATTAGTGTCATTCCTGTGTGATTAAATTATTATAAGGTATGTTTCCTGTATGATTGAAAAACCACCAAAACTGTCAAATTCAAATGACCCATAAATCATTTTTTTGGATCACTGTATGATTGACAAATATCAACTGCCAAAATGTATTTATTATTATTTATCATTCCTGTGTGATTAAATAAAGGATATTACATGGGTGCATGGAAATATTGTGCTAACTCGTGGGATAAATAAATTCAAAGCTTGAAGATAAAATTCATATCTTCAAGTGACAGCTGTAATGTTCTGTTTATTAAATGACATTGGTGTAAGCAAAAGTGTGTAACATTTTCATTATAAGATCAAAAATTTTGAACATTTCAAGAACATATTAATTATTAATTTATGATTTATGCATGATTGAATAATACCAAAACTGTCAAAATGCATTTATATTATTTTATGATTCCTGTAAAGATTGAAAAATACCAACTATTAAGAATTTACAAAAAAAATTCCAAACAATTTCAATCTATTGACATATAAAGATGCATTTGTTATTATTTTTATTACCGTATTTCTGCATGATTGAAAAATTTCAACTGTCAAAATGCATTTAACAATAAATATAAATCCTGTATGATTGAAAAGTCAAAGTTTCAA